ATATACCATTATGTACTACTAAAAATACCTACATTTAAAAAAAGAAAAAAAATCGGAAAAAAAAAGAAGGTAGATAACTGTGCGCCTACCTTTATTACCAATATAACTCATTAAAAACAAATAAACAAACACTTAAAAAATCATTTTCAAGAGACATGAGACATGAAATGAACAGACGAAAAAAAAAAATACAAAAATAATATTAAATTTATTGCAAATGTCTATGCAACACAAAAAAGAAAAAACAATAATAGAAAAAGAGTAAAATCGGCAACAAAAATGGCAACAACATAAATGGGAAATTAACAAACAAGTTAAAAAAATCATCTAAAGCACCGTTGTTTTTAACGCGTAACAGGCATATTGATTTTTTCCCTCTCATATTTTTTTTTTATTTCTCTAATATTACAAGTAATTCCTCTAGCCAAGATTGTATTCATATTTTATATATGTATGTACGTATGTTTGTGGCTAGGTATCATACTACTCAAAGACAGAATTGCATTTTAAATCAATTCATAAATAAGCTTTAACTATGCTTACATCTCATACATGCATAAATATGTATAAATAAAAAGTACATATGTATGTATAGAAAAATGAATCCAAAATACATAAAATATGTCTATAAAATCAAACAAAATTAACCGACAAAATTGATGCTCTAAGAGTAATGAGCAAAGTAAATAATACATAATAAGAAAAAAAAAACTAAAATCTACTATAAAAGTCCAAAAATATATTAAAGAAATATAAATATTAACCGTAACAACAAAATTACAAAAAAAAAGCAAAAGCAGCATAGCAGTAATAATGATACTATTGTGTACAATATAAGAAGAAATAATAACAGTAACAGTATAGTATACAAGAGTATAGTGATGAAAAGCAAAAACACACAATAATAGAAACAAAAAATACCTTTATATAGATAGAAAAAAAAAACGTACTCAACTCAATGCCAAAACCTCATCATCACAAAATTCAATCAATCATTCATCCATAGAAGAAAAATTGTTTCTTGTTTTGCCTTTTTTTTTTCTTCGTTTTCTTAATAATATAAAAGAAGTAAACCACAACCGCACGCGCCACTTTGCTGCTCACGAAAAATTAAAGAGTTTTTTTTTTATTATTAAATTTTCTTTTTATAGTTACTTTTTTGAGTTATTTTGTTTTTTTTTACATTATAGTTATTTGTTTATTTATTTGTTTTTTTTTTTTATTATTATTGAGTTCCAATGCAAGTGTTTTGGCTCGTTTTACTTGACTCTTGCTTGACAGACGATTTTATGTACGAGTATGAAATCTTTAGTTGTTTTTCTCTCATTCTCTGTTTTCTATGTACAATATGAGAAATAAAATAGATTTGATTTTTTTATTATTTTAATAATTTCTGCATATGGGTAATTTTGCATTAAAATTGAAAAAAGAAAGAAATTTTCATTATTATAAAATTAAGTACGAGAAAAATTAAAGTTTAGTTCCAAAAAAAAATATGATTTACATAATATGACTATACAATGTTGAATTTTAATATTTAAATTAGAAGAATTTTTCAGAATTTTATAAAAAATATAAGAATTAAGTATCAGAGATGCAATAATTTGGATTAAAAAAATATTTACATAAAAATATTAATAATAAAAATGACCTTTCAATTGTAAAAAATGCAGCTATTTATGTAATTCGTTATAATTTTTTTATACGAGCTATAAATTATACGAGTTCACAATTAATATTTTTATGTGATAAAATTTTTAAATACTCGAAGTTTTTAATAGTTTGCATCGAAAGTAAATCTTTAATGCCAAGTTAGTGATTTAAGTATTATAAATTTTGTAAGACACACTTTCTTTTATTCTTTTAAACATATATATTGTATCCTTCTATTATACTTGCACTGTTCCGAGAGCATTTTTATAAATTACAAAAACGTGAACCATAATTTGTAACAAATTTTTGGACTATATGCTCTTCTCATCTTAGAGCGCTAACCATATAATAGGTCTTGCATGCAATTTTCGAAATCAAAAATTTGTTCTCAACATTTCCGGGAAATATGTTGACACAAAGTAAGAAATAATAAAGCTAGCACAATTATTTTATCAGTAAAAAAGATTTGGAGTTGACATATGACTTTTTTAAAATCTTCAAAAAATAAATCTTGTATTACATGCGTAACTTTTGGTAATAATTTCCTAATTATTTCAAATACTAAGATTTTGGGTATCTATTTGGATAAATTACAATCATGTTATATATTAAATACACTGTAAAATTTTTACATAACAAACATTCTTTTTTGCGAAATAATATTTTTACAGGATAGCCATTGTTTTGTTTCGCAAACATTTCTACACTTACTGTTACAAAAACCAAAATCAACGGCATATTGTTGTACGTCCATAATATTTAAATTCCACTCTAAATACTATTTTATAACAAATGATTGTCGATTTATAGCAGCACGTTCCTATTTTTAATACATTTTTATGCTTGTAAGTACATTCATGTCACATACGTATGTATGTATATGAAGCGTTATTTATAAAGTCATCTTATAAATTAAAATGCTTTTTAAATTAAATATGTGCATAAACTTCTTTTACAACTATTAAATCTTATACAAGTACGCATGTACATATAAATATTAACAATAGCTTATCTACTTATTAAAATCAAAGTATTTTATTATCGCGTTATCATTCTCGTTCATCTCATTGTATGTATAAGTAGTATGAATGCATGCATATAAAAAATGCAATTGAACGAACCATATAAAATTTTCAACATGTAATTTAAGGCGAATCTTAAAATATCATAGTCTTCGTTTTTAATCAAATTTAAAGTGTATGTGTATGCCTGCGTGTATGTGTGTATGAATATGTTCGAATAATTATATTAATTTAAACGAACCGAACATAGTGGAGTGAAACAGAGAATAAAAACACTAAACACACAAAATTTATGAGTAAGGAAAACAAAAACAAAACAAAAAAAATTGCAATAGGTGAAAAACTTGTTTTCCTTTTTTTCGTTTCTGTTTCATTCTTCTTTTTCTTGTATTTGTTTTACACATTTATTTTTTTTTCTTTTTATATACTTTTGTACCGGTTCAGGATTAGTACTGTTAATTTTTGTATATCAATGTGAAAATGTTATAAATAAAATATGTACGAGAAGATTGAAAGAAAAAAAAACGAAAAACGGTGAAAACTGTTTTTAGTTTTATTTTTTTTTTTGTTCTTGTTTTTATTATCCTTTTACAGTAATATTGCATTACCAGCTTGCTTGTCTATTTCTATATAGTTTTTTTTATTTTATTTTAATATTTTTGTATGAACGTTAATGTCAAGTGCATTCAAGTATGCATGCAACGTAATAGTAAATTGCAACTTTGCAAGCCTATCAAATAAAATACATGAATTTTATTTATTTTTTTTTTTTTTGTGTCTGATTTGTTTTTAATATTTATTTCGGGTTTGTTCTATCTTTTTGTTTTTGGAAATGAGATTTTTTTTTTGTATGTACATATTACGATTAGCAATGTGTTATAGGTAAAATGTACAACAAAATTTAAAGTTTAAATAATTAGAGTTGCCAGTATGGAAGGTATTATATAGTTAAAATGATTATTATGTATATTGGAAAATTGTGTAAAAATTCGAAATCAGACAATTTATTGTCATATACAGGAATTGAAGTTTACTTGTGAATAAGTTGTGAATTTAATTTTCAAACACACGTTCAAATGAAATCCATTCTCCGTCAAAATGTATTAATTTCGATTAAAAATAAATCCAAAAAATTTTTAATGCAATTATGCATTCGTAATAATTACTCATAAATACAATAGGATAAACGCAAAGATTACAATGAGAAAATTTCAAATAGAAATGCATTGTATTTTTCCGCCCGTGTCTTTTTCATTTATACTCATTTCAGAACAAAATTTTCTTTCCTGTTTTAAATGGAATTTCACACTTAAGTTATGCAGCTAAAGATATTGTCACGAACCGTTAAGTTACTTTTCCAAAAAATTTTAAATATCCTCGATTAATTACATTTCCACATTATAAATTCTGATATTGTATTTTATCATCCTGGTCCACAAATTTTTCGCATTTTCACGGTTATGTACTTGTAAAAAAAATTCATTATTGACGAAATTGGTAACTCTTATTGTTTAAAGCATGCTGTATATTTACAATGCATGTTCTGATCCAATATGCAAAACTATGATAAATAAAGGATTCATAAAAAAATATAAAAATTCTGCAATGCAATAAAACACATTGCAAGAATTTTACAAAAAAAATAAAGAAAAAAAAAACAAAAATCATAAAAATTTTACATGAAAATCTCATAATCACATTTTAAAGATTTTAAAATTAAAAGAAATTGAAATGTAATTAACTGTAAAAATAATTTATTTTTTATTATTCTTGTTTTTGTACATGTAGCAATTCTATGTACATAATATTTTTCTTTTTTCAATTTCACCTCAATTTAAAATGCATCGCATGCAAATCTTTTCTCTATTTAAAACAAAAACAAATTCAATATGCATTTTTTATATTTTTATCAATATTCATATATCAATAAAAAGAACGAAAAACAAAGGAAAACGAGCAACAAAATAAAAAAAAAGTTGAACAACTACATTAATAATTTTCACATGCATACGCGTACACATGCAAATCGCTGTAAACATTTACAGCGATTTACATATATACGAAATCTTATAAAACAAAAAAATACACCATGTTATAATTGTTGCCACTTTATGTTTTAATTTGCATTTTGTTCATAAAAATAAATTTTATTATTATTATTTTCTTTAATATTTTTATCACTAAATTTCATATTTATGTATGTACGTGTTTACATTATTCTTCTTATATGTATTATTTCAATTACATTTTACATTACATTTTTATTTGCATTTTCTTTTGCATTTTTTATTCAAACAAAATATTATTTTTTTTTGTATTTTACAGTACCCCTACTACAGGAAAATTAAATGGACAAACCACACCTCTTGATGTATCTGGCCTATCGCAAAATGAAATACAAGGTTTATTATTAGGTTCACACCCATCTACATCACCATCAACATCATCACAACAACAATCGGCTGCAAGTGTAGCTGCAGCAACACAAGCAGCAATATCAACAGCCACTACATCAATTGCAGCTGTGTCGCCAGCAATAGTTGCAGCTGCTGTTGCTAATGGTACTGTTGTTGTTACAGATCATTCACAACAACAACATCATTCACAGCATAATAATCAACAGCAACAACATAATGTGCAATCAATTAATATTAAACGTGAACCAGAGGATTTACGTAAAGATCCCGGAGGAAGAAGTCAAAAGGTAAGAATTTTATTTAATTTTGTTAATGTTTGTACATAAATTCTTTTATATACCTTTTTTGTTTTGTTTATTTAACAGAGTACTATGTTAGCGTATATAGGTGTAATTTAATGTTACAAAAATCTGTTAAATGTAAAACTTTTGTACTTTTGTGTAAATAACAGCAATTGTAGTTTAATAAGAATGTACTGTTAGAAAATATATATAGCACGATTATTAGAATTAAATTAGATCAAAAAAAGATAATGTTTCGGTATTGCGAGTGTATTGTACAATAATATCAGCATTTTATAAAATGGTACATAGAATTCCACAGAAATTTTAATTTCGAATAATAATTTCATCTAAATACATATATGATCAGTAGTACTAATAATAAAGAATTGAGAGTAGATACCAACAAAAGGTCAGTTTTATGCAAAAATAAATTATTCCCTATAATATATTCTCATTTAGGCATATGAAGAATTTATTATGGAATGATCCTTATTTATGATTCTTTAATACTTTGTCTTTGAAATCGGTTCCTTCCAATTTCCAACCAATATACTTATTTAGTAATTCATTTTGGAATTCAATTTTGCTTTCCATTTAACAATACAACTCCGATACGTGATGTTGTTAACATATTTAAAATTACATACTCGCAATTACATACATATTTCGAAAAGTTTTTAAATTTTATAACACACCTAAACTACTTAATATCACAGAATTACAATATAGCTTATTTGGCTCGAATTTAAAATATGGCCCCAAATTTTTTTAGTTAAATTAATTTATTTATTAATTATTATTTTATTATTGAATAAATTCATAAGCAAAATTGAACAACGTGAATTTCAATTAATATTTAAATAATCGCATAGCATTTTAATAATGCAATTGAAGCACTAAGTCTTTCAATTCTTTACAAATACACATACATAAATCGAAATATCTGAATAAATCTATCTTGAATCAAGTCAAAATATAAGTACAACAGTTAGATATTATAAAAATAATGTAAGCTTTATATACAAAAACCTGTCGTTCTTTATGAAATTTTTACAAACTTTCAATAACAAAAAATTAAAAAATCTAATGCCTTGAATAAATTATAATGCTTAAACCAAGAATCTAACCACCTTATGTTATTAACATTTTTTTATTTCTGTAAAATTTTCATTCATTCATTCATTCATTTTTAATTTTTCAATGCTATGTTCGCGTACACGTTAATGCATTTTTCTTTAATTATGCATTTTTATTTTTAATATTAATTTTATAGTTGTATTGCTGTAAAATCCGCCATTTCTAAAGAAAAAACAAAGGTTTAAAACATTAAAAAATGAATAAATGCATTGTAAGAATCAAGCAATTAAATTTGATTCATAATAATTTTCTCGTCAAAATGCAATAAATAAAAAATAAGAAAAAAAATAATTTTTCTTTCGTTATTCTTCTCCATTTGCCAATAATTTACAAATAGAAAATCACTATAATTCTTTCTCTTTTTATCAATATTTATTTTACAATAAACAAAAAAGAAAATAGGTGTATTAAAAAGAAATATGAATGTGTATGTATGGGTTTGTGTATATGTACGAAAAAATTATATGAATATATAAAAATTGTAAATAAATTGATAACTTTTTCTCAATTTGCTGCTATTGGCTCTTATATATTTAACACTTATAAGAACTCGATACGTAAACAATAAATTGAAAATATTCAAAATTCTAAAATTTAAATGCGAACATGTAAATGATCATGTATTTTAATAATATGCAGTGTCAAAGCAATGGACATAAATTTTAAAAACTTATTTAGGTACTAATGTTTGTGTTTCTTAGAATAAATTAACAAAGCGCGGTCGTCATTTTGCAAAAATAGCAGAATTTGATTTGATGTTTAAGTTTTAATGAAAAATTTTATTACATCTCATCAGTTTTTAAAACTTTTAATGGAATATGTTTCTCATCTCTCTAATATACTATTGTATTATAACCAGGGGCTCTTGTGTTTTACTGAAAACTAACATGGTTTGTTAATGCCACTTCGCGTTGTTACACTAAATATTGGGCTACGCTACACTAAATATTTAAATAAATGCATATTAAATGCATGTTACTTTTCGCAATTATAAGCTAATAAAAGTTCCTGAACTAAAGAAATATTGGACTATGATGATGAACTTACTAAAGTATAGTGCACATATTTTGTACAACTTCGAGAACACGAGAATAAATTTAAAATTTGGAGCACCTCTAATTTGTTATTTTTTGTTACGAACTCATTATTATGTTCTGAAGTGGTTCCTTTTAACTTAGAACTCTTAGCACTTTTCACGATCACAAATCGGCGAAGTGACTTAAGGGAGGATAGAAATTTTTTCACAATTCTTATCACATGATCTGAGATTACAATAGCAAGTACTTTGACTTTAAAATGCCAGAAAGATGTTTCGAAAGTACATTATACTTTTTAGTAGTCAGTAAATTACTTTAATATTTTTATTTTAGTGTCAGTACAGAATAATAGTTCCTGATAAAATAAATGAACTGAATCTTATTACTGAATTCAATTGACAGAATTTTCTTTAACTCAATAAACTCAATAAACCGACTGGTGACTGGTTTCAATGGTTAAATCAATTAAGAGCGAATCGTATATAAACTTTTTCTATATTCATTTTAAATTCAAAACTTAGTTCAGTTAAGTGGGGTGCATTTATCTGGGCATTACCGTGTATACCCTGCAAATAATTACGTTTGCAAATATTATGAATTAAGAATCATATAAAAAAATTTTTACTTCCATGCAATATGCATACTTACATTAAATATACTTGTATACATAAATGTGTATGTATTTTCATAACATATAATTAAAACACCTGAATACCTGGAATAAAATAATTTTTTTACAAATTTATTTACTTTTATACCAAATCTATTAAGTCAATTCTTATTTTTTTATTGTTATTATTTTCATATACAAATAAAAAATATATGTAGATAATTTAAATTTAAAATTAAATATTGCTAATCATTTTGTAGTATACACTATAGCTACCATTCTACATAACATATAGTATATTATTAGACCACCACAATTTCAATTATTATCACTAAGAAGAAAAATAAAAAAGAAGAAAGAAACGAACAAAGAGTGAGAGAGAGAGAGAAAGAGAAAATGAATAAATAAATATAGCATTACAAACAGAGCATAGTACTACTGTAAATAAAAATAATTTACAGAGGTCGTACATACTACAATTGAATTTTTATTTAAAATGCTGTACTGTTGTCTAATACTATAAAAAAACAACAACAGCTATAACAATAGTACCAGCAAAAAACGAGAAGCGAAATATAAATTTTTTTTTTTTAATTTCTTTTCTTTTGGATTATGTTTCTATTTCTTTCTTCCGTTCATCTATTAATCAAATTCAAAAGTATTCTATCTCTGTTGGAATTTCTCCATTTATAATAAAATAAAAGAAAAAAATAAAAAGTTTACAAAATTAAAACTTATTATCGCCATATCAAGTGTGCATACCGTTTTGTTTCATCCATCTATTCGAAAAGGGAATCTGCTATAGCTTATCAATTATTTATTTAATAGATTACTATTTTGGTGGAGCTAATTATTTATTTTTGTTCTATTCGTTATGAATACGGTTTTATTGTAATTGGCTATAGTAGAAATTGCTGCATTTGCAATAATCGCATTTATTTATTAAATTGCCTTTACACGTTAAAATGTACGCACGTATAAACATAATATATGCAAGTAAATAATTAAAATCAACGATTATAACAGTAAGAATATTAACTCAATAGAAACAGCAACGACAATGAGTTTAATAAACAAAAAAATATCTACAATTTCAATTTCAGCAGCTTATTAAAAAGTTATTATTATTTTGTGATCTCGTATGTATACGTATACATACATATATGTAAATAGACTTATATAATATACTTTTATATTGCACATTTCATTAAAATATACGTTGCGTGTGTACATAAATTATGGAAGAAAATGCAGTGAAATTTCCTTGCTTACGATTTATTATTATTATTGTGTCATATGTGTGGTGAGTGTCATTATTTTTGGTTAAAATATTGGTATATTTTTCAATCTTCTCATTTCTAAAAACTAAATTCGTGAATTATGTAAGTACCTCGGTGGTCATCGTGTAAAATCGGAAATTTTGGAAATATTTTTTTGAAACTAACAGATTTTTTATAATTATACATTAAATTTTTAAAAATTACTTTTTTTAATATGTTCCATTGTCCATAAAATCTTATTTTATCGTTCTTAGAATAATTATTGCCTTGAGCCCTTAAATGAAATTTACAATAATAATGAAGGATTTTTCTTATTTATGTATTGGTTTCTAGTGGAAAATGTAAAATTGATATTAGATTGAAAAAATTGATCGCGGAGATAATGTCTGCCATTTTGAGTTTTGTACATATCCATTTAATTGATTTAATATATAAAACAATTTTCGAACACTGAATCTTTATTTTATATACTTACAATATGTGGGAAATATAAGTGAGAATGCGGTGATCATTTGTAATATTTCAAAGGATTTAAAAATTTAAAAATATGCGAAAAAATAATAGAATGGGAAGTTTTTATTCAAGGAGAAAAAATATTGAACTTTATTAAATATTTTTTTTGTGATATCTTTAACAAAATCTAAATTTTTAATAAAACATTTTATAAATTCTTGATTACCCTGATCATTTTTTGTGTAATTTTATCCTTGAAATAACAGAAAAAAATCAAAACCTACACACATATTATAAGATTTAATCAATTTTGACAGCTAAATATTTAATTTATCCTTTCATTTTAATAAAAAAAAGCGTAATAAAAAAAGATCAAGGTTTTTCGTTTATTTTCTGTTTTTCTTTTTTTAAATTTTTGCTACATTTACTAATAATTGACATTTCCAAAATAATGACTTAATTTATTTCTTCACTCATACTGACATT